AAAATATGAAATTCTTATAGCATTTTGTTCATTTAGTTGCTGTATTACAAAGATTAGTTCCTCTCTTGCAACTTCTCATTTGTCATCTGCTGTAGGACTCATTTCTAGGTAAATGTATTTGTTCATTATCTTTCTATAGCCTAAACTAGTGAACTTCTTCCCTCCAGGTATGGAATCCGCGGGCAAATAGAGAGCGGTTTGCTCCTTCTGCCGTTGAGGTTTTACGAATTGTAGATGAAACAGTAGAAGCATTCTTTCTGTTACCAATACCCATGCATCCAGGTTTATTGCCTGAATTGATGTCTGCACTTGATGGATGTCTTCAACACTATGTAGTGAAGGCAAAGTCTGGATGTGGTATGTAATTGATGTCTGCATAATACCAATATACTACTTTCAAAGCTATTAGTCTTGACATAACTAACCTTCCTCTGTCATGATTTGTAGGGTCTCGAAGTACATTTGTTCCTGCCTTGCCCGCTCTTACTAGATGTTCAACTGGGTCAAAATTTCATGGTGTATTCAAAAAAAAAGAGAAGCTACACATAGCACAGAGAAGTAAACCACAGATCGGAAGCACAAATGGGGATCCATTTGGAATACCCCAGCTATGTTGTCGAATTAATACTTTACAGCATGTTCACACAGAGTTAGAGATTATTGGAAAGAGACCAATCAACCATCTTATAAATTCTGAATCTTCTCATGCAGACAACAATGCAAATGGAATAGGTAAGACTTTTGAACTTTCAACAAGTTCTTGCAGGGAAGGGATAAAACAATTATGTGAAGCTACAGCATACCGAATCATCTTCCGAGACCTAAGTCATGTTCTTTGGGATGGCCTTTACATTGGAGAAGTTTCATCTTCCCGGATTGAACCTTTTCTTCAGGAGCTTGAGCATTATTTGGAAATTATTTCATCAACAGTACATGACAGAATCAGGACACGAGTTATTACTGATTTGATGAAAGCCTCTTTTGATGGATTCTTGCTGGTTTTGCTTGCTGGAGGTCCATCTCATGCTTTCACGCGGCAAGACTCAAAAATGATAGAAGAGGATTTTAAGTTCCTCACAGAACTTTTCTGGTCCAATGGTGATGGACTTCCTGCAGATATAATAGAGAAGTACTCGGTTGTAGTTAAAGGTGTCCTTCCCTTGTTTCGTACAGACACCGAGAGCCTTATTGAGCGATTCAGAGCTGCAACTCTTGAGAGCTACACTTCTGCTGCTAAATCTAGGCCTCCACTGCCTCCTACTTCTGGTCAGTGGAGTCCAACTGAGGCAAACACACTCTTGCGTGTTTTGTGCTATCGAAGTGATGAGATGGCTGCAAAATTCCTTAAGAAGACCTACAACTTGCCAAAGAAACTGTAATACTTATGAGAGTGGAAAGGACAAAATGGTGAGTGAAGGACAATTGGAAGGACATTCTTGGTGCTTTGCCAGTATTTATTGCTAATTATTACGTTAAAAGCGCTCATGACATGCTTCCACTAGGCGAGCTTAGGGCCTGTGGCAGAGGTTTGTATCCATTGATGGAAATTCACCTTGTGTACAGTAACTTATTGGTTGGCACAGTTTGTTTGAAGCATTGACATGTTATTTTAAGTAACTTCAAAGGAGATGGATGCCCCCCTCAACTAAGACAGGTGGTTTTTATGGTTCTTGAAGAGTTGGGAAATCAGTTTGTCAAACGTGCTTAGAATCAGCTGCTTCACGATGAGTGGAAACAAACGACCTCAGTCATTAAAGAACCTCAGAAGGAGATAGACATACTCCTTGATGTTGAGACTAGTAAGAATGCAAATTATGGCTCTCAAGCAATAGGAATTTGTTTGTCAGATATCCGGAGAATCTGTTGCTTACTCCCACCAAGCGAAGACACACAAAGCTCAGATGGACATGCTGAGTTTTGTAGGTACCTGCTTTTGCTTTCTTTTTGTAGGTTCTTAATATCTCTGCTGCTAGAGAAAGTGGATATTAGGATCATATACAGATAGTCCAGTAACTTATAATAGATAATTCAAAGGCATTTGTATCTAATTTTTTTGCCAAATGACTTAAGGTTTTCCTGTGTGCAGATTGTTTCAAAGAAATGTAAATCTAAAGTTGTGTTCTTTTCTGCAGTATTTCAGTTTCTTGCCGCCTGTGATTTTTTATTGTAAAAACTTGTTATTTCCAGAATTAGGTTATGCTGTAATTTGGTTATTACAATGTTATCCACTACCCTCTTAAGACTTAAGACTAGAATCAGATCATGGGTTATATGCATTGAGCTGGGGGAAAAAAAAAAAGAACAAAAAAAACTTTTTAGATAAAACTCTCCCTAAAATAGAGGATACATGAAATCATTAGGATATGTAGGAAACAAATTTAAAACTTTTGTTTAATTTATCCGTAAATTCGCATTTATTTTTAACTTAAGATTGATAAAATTCTCTTAGGTTAATGTAGTATTATATGAAATTCTACCTAGAAGGAAAATAATACATCTTAAAGCAGTTTCAATAAAAATTGAAATGCATTATTCAATTTGCACAAAATTTTTTATATAGCTTTCTTTGAGACAAATTCACTTATGTTTAGAGTTTGTTTGGCAATCTATATTTTTTTTAATTGTGAAGAATAAAAATTTTATTAGAAGCAAAAAAATTGAGTTCATGAGTTCACATGAAATTTTATGTGAAACTGAACTAAGCAGGTAAATAGAAGTTTCATTTTCGATATCTTGAGCATTATGATCAAAGGCTACTACTAAGCTGGTAGACTTCACAACACGTATCACGTCCACGACATCAAAGGACTTCAATATTGTCAAAGGTTCGAGATTTCCGTAGCTCAAAGTTTTAACAAAAATTAATGTCAGAATTGAGCTCAACTAAAATGACAAAACTACTTGGCGATCCATGAAGAGCCTGGGTCAAGAAAGTCTGGTTCTCTTACAAGCATGGAACAGAATCATGCAAGAACTTCAATGTATTTGACTAGGAGAAAGAAAAATAGTTGCTAAGGGATTTTATACGAATATTAATCGAAACTACATTGTAGCTCCATGCAAGTTCGCAAAAACTTTCAGTTCACCATGTCTTATCATTGAAGGACCTTTTAAAAGTCACTTTGATCAACTGACTTGGAATATCACCCCAACTTGTGTATTTGTGCACGGATTCTCTCTTCAAAAGAAAGAAAACTTCAATTGATGGTTATCAATGTGCCTACCATGTAAGTAAAATCTATAACAATAATTTCTTGGCCATACCATAATGCTAACTTTTATTTACACATTATTCTATACCACTTTGCAAGTTCATGCATACAAGTACATCAATCCAATTGGAAATGTTAATGGTAAGTGGCTGCTGACACATTTCCTTATGTAAAAGAATGAATATAAAGTAGAGAATATTACTCAATCTGCAAGAATATTATACATAAATTATTACACAATCTAACTGTTGACTATAATATTTTATTGTTTAATTAGTTGAGATGATGTAATTATAATTTTATTAGAATAGTAATAATGCAGAACTTAAGATCAGCTACCGTGATTAAAAAATTCTATATGTAATATTTATATTCAAAATCATAAAATTCTCAACAAACTTTTTTTACCTGACCTATATTTAACCCATGAATATCAACCAAGGTAATTGGGATAAGGATTTGAATTGATTAAATGCCGCAAGATGGAACCGCAATAAATAAAATTAATTTAAGAGGGATTGATAAAATACCAAAAGACCAGGGTTCTATGGTCGGTCCGCGACCCCTGGATACCGAAGGCGTCCTTGGGGTGATCTCGAATACTTTATTGAATTACAAAGGGGTGGTGGCATCCTTATATAAATTTTCATTCACTTATTCTACTAGAAAACAAATTAAATAATTCTAACCAAACTCTTAATTCTACTTAGATTAGAATTACACTTAAATAATAATAAAAGACTTAATTAAAAGAAATCTAATGCAATTAGAAAATCAAGACTTATTTTAAGACTCAATATGATCTAATCTAGGACTTACATTAAAATAATAATTAAAATAAATAGACTTTTATTAAAATAATTACTTTTCTCTCTTGGGTGGCATGATGAATCCCATTTGATCTTGAATTATCTATGTTGTAGTCGGATTGGACTCTTAAATATTTAATTAATTTGTTGTAAGAGTTGGTGTTAAAGATGTTTAAAGAATCCTCCTTCTGTAAATAAAAACCAAAGTCCTTCTCCAAGTATAATCAAATTCCTTCTTTAAATAGAAATCAAAGTCCTTCTTTAAATAGAAGTCGAATTCCTTCTTTAAGTAAAATTCCAATGAGGACTTCGAATAGGAGAAAAAATCCTACTCCCTTGATGTTTCTTTTTTCTCTTGTAATTCTTGTACCATAAAATCCAAAGAAGATTTAGTGTAAAACTCAAATTCTTCTTCTCTTTCTCTTAGCTACACATCCTTCTTGAATCTTGAATCTTGAATCTTGGATCTTGAATCTTAAATCTTGATTTGGTGTTGAACCGGTGGAGGAATGAGTCTTTGGCCAAAATTCTAATCTTTATTGAAGTTGGACTTGCGAGCATCCTTGCGGGAAAAGGAATCCTTATTCTTGTGGGATTGAGACTGCTTGTGGGTGTGAGAATACTCTTCCACATTGTCTTTATGTGTGCGCACTAGGCAGGTGCAAGCTATCTCCGTGCATGTGAACATCTTCTTTTGGGATTCCGTTTGGACTTCAAGACTACTTTTAGCCTAGCCGTGTTCACATCGTGTAATCTCATGTAATTATAATTCTATTAGAATAGTAATTTTCTTATCTACAAGTTAAGAATTCTATGCATGCTCCTAGGTAACAACATAAAGTATATCATAAATTAAAATTAATATTTTTTTTTGAAATATTCATGGTATCATAGATAAATAAAGTAATTTTAGGGTTTAATTTTAGGATTTTTTTCAAACCTTAAAATAACATAATTAACTGAGTTGGTACCCATGTATCAAAGATTTATTCCCACCACCATTTGTCTGCCTCACCGCCAACTTGTCACACCTACTCATATAGTTTTTTTCGAACATGTGAGTCACATGTGCCATTGAATAGGGAAGCACGTGAGCCACACATACTGTTAGAGATCTTCTCCTTTGGCTCAAATCAGCCTTCTGGTGTGCGCATGGGGACCGAATTTACAAATCCAATGCATATTCCCCTCTATCGCGCAAACACAATCCCACCAGGACAAATTTTGCGATCTAACACAGATCAACTTCCTCCGTGCGTGACTCGTTTCTAGTTTTGTGATCCGGCACTAATCTGGCTCCTCCATGTGCGTCCACCTTCGGTTTTGTGATACCGGCACCTATCCGATTCCTCCATGCACAAGTTGTTTATGGTTTTGTGAATCCATAGCCAATCTAGTTACTCCACGTGCGAGCCATTCCGACTGACTGATGCGAAACCCGGGATAGCAAGGCAATCCAAAATTTCGCATATACATCAATAATCAAAAACTCAAAACCGTAAGTAAACCTTCATTACTTGACCTGCAATCAATAAGAGAGTGAAAACCAATGTAATTATGAAAGAGTCAAAGAACTAGAATTAAGAAGATACCACGAGACTTACCTCGATAAATGATTCTAATTCCTAGCACAAGAAGTCAGTTGAAGACCCACTCACTCACTCTTGAAAAGCTTAGAAATTTAAAACAAAAAATATTTGAATTTCATTAATAAGTTGAAAATTTTTGAATAAATTACAACTCTGAATTTAGGGTCTATTTATAGTATATACAATGTGAATAATAATAAAAATAATCTCTTAATTAATGGTAAAAATTACTTAAGAAATTAAATCTAAACTAAAATAAAAAACTAGCAAAACTTAGAATATTATAACTAAAATATGATAGATATGATTTTCCTATGAAGAAACTTTTTTTAATAGAGAATATCTTAATTAATTATGGCTGATTTAGGAGAAAAAATTCTGACAAAATATTTTCCTAATTCTCAAGAGTTTTCCTTTTCCATAGGATTTGGCAATTAAGGAATTTTTCTCTTTCTTAAGATAGCTTGCAATTTAGGAGCAATTTTGTAACATCCCAGATACTTGGTAAGGTAAAAGTGAGTCTGATAATAGAAACACATATGAGTGCAAATAATAATATATTTATGCAGCGAAAAATAGAATCCCTTAAAACGAAATCAAGGATTAATTTATACACTTGAGGCCAAGAAGTTGGT